CTACGAAAAACCCTGGAAACCTACGAGTCCTCTTATCATCACTCAGGAACCACCGATCTTTTCTGCAGGTGTCATGGACCATTCATGACAAATATTGTTGCAACCACCCTTATCCTAGGTACATATCTATGCATAGTAATTCTAGCGATCAGCTCCATACTCACAATGTAATTTCTGTAAAATACAGTTGGACGGTGGAATTACCAGACCCCGTATCTCGGTTTGCGACGTTGTAGACTTCCTTTCATACTTTCTTCTTTACACGGAAAACCAACCAACATCAATTTATAAAAACTTCTGCAATTTTTCTTCTCTGTGCAAAGAAAACTCTGTGAAAACCAAGGAGGAAAAATGATTTGTTCTCTGTCAAAAGAATAAAATGGGAGCGGAGATTTTTAAGCACCGCAAACGAGATACATGGTCTGCTAGTTTCACTGTTGACTTGTTACGATATACCTATACCTACAATATCCCTATAGATTATATTGAAGATATTACTGTCCCTGTAACAGTGACTGATTCGAATGTTATCACAGTATAGAGGGTTTCAGATAATTGGGCGAGCATGGTTTATTAATTACACAGAACGTAAGTTACCTTTATAAATTAAGGCGTAGAGGCAACTTCTGCCTTTGGTTGGCCAGGAATTTCTGTAAACGCATTTGAATTCCTAAAATGTATGAGAAATTCCGAATCTACTAAATGAAAGCAAGGATTTCAGGAGAACATGATTAACAATTTGCTGTCAGAAGGAAAACTGCGGAAGGAAAGTGGGAAAGATTTTTCACTAAGGCTCAACATAATATGAGGAGGAAAAAATGAATGTAATTTCCGTTTACCCTGGTTATAATTCTGGAATTGTAAGAATTCTCTTTCTCTATTTACGTAATTACGTATTAGATTATTGTATTGTATGAAATCCTGTTATCACGAAGACAGAGTATCATAGAGCATAAACAATAAACATAGGAAAGGTTGTGTCTGATCATGAGTCATTAGAAGGTTTTAGCGTAGTGTGCTGCAACCTAACGGACACATGGTGCCTTCGATTCGCGAAAAGTTACCTTCAGTACTCACAATCAGTTGCAGTTGATCGATTTCGTTTAGTGTCTCATCATTTACCTATTAATATTTATATTTCGTTCATTTATTTACCTATAATATTTTTTACGTGTCCAATTAGGGCATCATTAAAACAATTAATTTGGCCTCGTTAAGTGATACGTTCATCTTTGATACATTTTCTTCAAATGATCTAGAAAAGTTATTTTTTTGGAGCCGTAATAGTTTTCTCTGTTTTTATGAGAAATCGAGGATTTTTTATGTATTAATATTTCGGTACTTAAGTAATGGATCATTATTTTTCCTATGGATCTTGGATTTTTTTTCGGGGGGTGGGGGAGGAAGCACAATTTTAGATGTTTTAATTATTGCAAATTTTAAAATACTCAGTTAATAGGTAGTAAATTAAATCTGGGACTCATTAAAATTGCGCTCACCGCTGAGCGCTTCTCTAATACCCACGTATTAGAGCTTTCCCGCTTGTTATCCTTCCGTCGACAAAATCACTTTACTTTCCTGTAATTTTCATAAATTCCGACTACATAGTAATTTAACTTGCTGAGATCCCATGTTTTTCTTTGACCTTCAAAGATTCAGAGAAGTGTAAGTGAATAAAATAAAATACAAACTGACTGTAAAAGCAAAATTGAAGTTATTATTTCACTGAACTTCGTGACTGATGAGTGGTAAAGGAGTACACCCTGGGTTAAGGAGGGACTACATAGCGGTGAGTACACGAGACTGATGAGAGAGAACCAGTGGCGTGGCGTGCTTTGCGATATGTCGATTGCTATGCCATTTAAACCTATGGTAAAGAATCGATTATTAAGGTTTTCGTTGCGAACACTGTGTTTATCGATCCTTTTCTGTAGGTTTAAACGCCAGAGCAATCTATGTGTCGAAAAACATGCCATGCCACTGGAGAGAACACAGAGTAATAATTAGTCTTGAAAATCTAATCAGATGACGTAGTATACCGCACCACTACAAAATAGTGAAACTTGTTTAACATTGAAAAATCAATTTCTGTACGCAAAAATGCATACATTCTGTGTGAAGTTTGTGCCATTGCATGAGCAATCGAATTCAGGGAATGACATCCACACCAAATAAAAAAAAAATTCAAAATATTTGACCTTTCGCGTGTTTTGTGCTAATAAAAAGGACCTGATTTGAAAACACAAAGTAAGCAAGCCACAGCTTTCGGCGCGACATTTCAAGGGACAAGATTCTCACTTAAATATCAGAAGAGGAGTGTCAGCTTTATATTTTAAGAGTTCATATCTCGCCTCGATACGTAGAAAAAGCATGTGCTAACTATTATGATTTGCGGAGGATACATCGACACGTAGCTTTATCAAATATGCGCTTAAAAATATATCACCTTAAGACGTCGGACAAACTTAACAAGCAAATGACAGCACTGCCACTCCTTTAAAGCGAAATCAAAAGAAAGACACTTTTTTTTCTCGTGAAACTTTATTTTTGCTGAAACGGATTAAGCATAATCTAATCATCACGCTTAGATACACTAATCATCATCTAATCACTTAAAACATTCGATAATACACCAGAAAGCAAAAATTACCTGGAACGGCCTTTTGTAATTTCAGTATCAAATTGGAAGGAATTTTATTCGTGGGCATGTCGCAGAACCTCTGGAAGGATTGCCATGATGGGTCATTATTCCTAGCTTTAAGCATTCTTATCTCGGCACCACTTCTTGTGAGTAATGAGGAACTGCTCGCCACCGAGCATCCCTTGAAATACACACCGGAAAAAATAAAAGCAGCTTTAGAAGAACATAAAATAATTCCAGATGCACTGGACGCCGCGCCTGAAAAAGGAATCCAGGTAAAAATTTATATGAATTAAATAATTATTTTTTTATTACCATTGCATGCATATTTAGTCCAAAGAGCTGTGTAAATAAGTTGAATTAGAGGAAACTGTTAACAATGCAAATCATATGTACACAGCTTCTTTTGATTGAATTCATTTCTACGTAAGTCAATGGTGAAACTACCAGACCACGCATCTCGTTTGTAGTGTTTAAAAATCTCCTCTCCCATTTTATTTGTTTGGAGGAGATCCTTGAAGTTTTCACACAGTTTGTTCCGCATATGAGAAGGAAAATCGCGGAAGTTTTCAAGAATTGACTTTCAGCAGTTTTTCATTTAAAAAATCAAGTGTGACAGGAAATCAGCAACGTTGCAAACCAGGATACGAGGTCTGGTAGTTAGACCGCCAGTCTACACATCTCCTTAGCATAAATGTGTCCATGTGTAATGGAACTGCATTATATTGACGATAATTGAATTTGGTTTCTGGAATTCTCAGAAATAATCAGGTATGATGTCTTTCATGTAGATGAAATCAAGTGCACCACAATATGGACGTATTTATGTTAAAAGGAACTATTTTCATAGAGCTTACGTGCAGTATAGTTCCTTTCAGCATAGGCAAGTCCATATAATGATTTTTTAGATTGAAGACTTTGACATGTGTCGTCGCGTCATTGCCACTGAACTCATTTCTTTAAAATCGGAATTGCTAATTATAAAGGAGAAGAACGCATTTAGGGCAAATTTTTCCTTTACAGAGTTACGATGTCTGGATGCAACACAAAATACGACCAATCAATGTGGCAACTGCAGACTCATTTCGGGTTTAATTGGAACCATCATCAGTGCAGTGTAGCTTCCTGATTTTTTGCTTCCATACTCGGCGACGCGCGACGTCCCGAAAACAAAACCGATGATCGGGGAAGTGTCCCCAGAAATAAAAGAACTTATCAGACTTTCCATGAAAAAAAGAAGCAAGCTTGTCTGAGGCCGAATGTTGGGCTTTATATTTCAACATTGAGTGAAATGTATCTCTAAAGTAACAACAAAATATTACGCACTGCGGTATTAGAATGATGGAGACCTACCGTATAGAAATTGTTGCCTGGATGAAAATAAGGGGTTGTAATTGAAGCAGACTTATAATGACGGTTGCAATTCTTTTGTTGTCGTAGTTTTTGAATTTGGTAATCGTGTGTTAAAAAACACAGGTACGAAATACAAGACCAGTCGAGTTAAAACGCCGCTTCACCGACGTAGGCCTCCTCCGTCGCTCATATCAATATATCCCCATGAGCCCTGTAGATCGTAAAAAACCATGCTTTCTAGGGCTCATGCGAAAATAAAAATACACTCTAACTTTTGAAGAGTGACGGAAACAGTTAATAATTTTAATATCAATATTTTTACTAGTTTATTTTTCATTTAAAAATATTATTTCATATTATTCATGTATACATATCCATCATACATTTCATACGATTCAAGAATCTTTTGGAGAAGAAAGATCCGTTAGGTGTGATACAATAGTTGAATCTTGACCTGTAACATGAGATTGATTTTGTTGTTTTTTTTCACCTTTCACATAATGTAAATTTACAGCAGTGGTTTCATTTTCTAACTTCAGGTGGAATGGGCGGAGATGAGGCGGTCTATGGAAATTTGTTAAACTCGTTGGACGTTCTAATAAGGCCCCATTGGGTGAAATGGAAGTTTAGTTTCACTGAGTCACTGCATTACAATATAATGCTATTTTTTAAGTTAAACATCTTAAAACAGCCTCAAATTATGATGCTTTTCGTGTGTTCTAGATGCAATGGGTTGAAGGGCCTCAGGCTGTGTTTGGAAATATTCTAGAACCGTTAGCCGTATTGAGAGAACCCTATTGGATCAAGTGGGATGCAGATGTAGCTACTCGTTTTACACTAATGATGTTCGGTGAGTTCTCTAAAACAGTCACTATTCTTATTACAGTGTCAAGTGCGATCAACAACGAGTTCATTCGGATAAAAGACACATTTCTCCGGAATGAAAGTAAAGAGTGACCAATGAAGGCTATTTCCATTTAAATCTTCCGTCACATTCATACGGCGCAATGGTACAACTATTTGAACTCTCCGGAATGCGTGAGGTATCACGCCGCATTTAAAGGCGTTTTCAAAACAGCCAACTTCCGATACCCGGATTATCGTTTTGCATAGTTCATATTCTTTTGTTATTCCGTGTCACTTGTTTATTTTTAATTCTCGTAGAAAAACCACCCATTTTTAAATACAATTCTAGCTGAAGCGCACTTCAGCTATGCATTCACCACTGCAAAAATTTCAGGGGAACTCGACAAGCCCAGCGTGCATGGAGACTATCTCCATTTAAACTTTCCGTCACATTCTTACGGCGCAATGATACAACTATTTGAACTCTCCGGAATGCGTGAGGTAGCACGCCGCATTTGAAGGCGTTTTCAAAACAGCCAAGTTCCGTTATAGGAATAATCGTTTTGCATAGTTCATATTATTTTGTTTCCATTTCTAACCACTTGTTTAATTATAATTCTTCTATAAAAACCACCCATTTTCCCCTCGCCCCCCCCCCTCCGTGCTTGGGGCCCGGACCAGGGCCCGAGGTGGGATGTGGCGGGCCTGGTGACAATCCGTGTGCTTTTTCAACTTGGAGCCGGGCAAAACATGATTGTTTTAAAAATCACATGCACCTACTCAAAGGAACAATAAAACAAGCACAGCTGAAAACTCGATATTTCGAATTTATGCATTTTGTTTTATAATGAAAACCAAGTAACAGTTGCAGATAGATGAGCAATAGGTGATGAAGACCGCGGAGAACACATACGGAAACATATCGACATTAGTTAGACATAAGTTCGCATTCATATCTCGTTTGCGTTGTCTGAAAATCTCCGCCTCTATGTTATTTTTTTAAAGGAGAACAAATTGACATGATTCCATGAGGTTTCTGCAGAATTTTCTTCGCACAGAGAAGAAAAATTACGGTAGTTTTAAAGAATTGCCATTGAGTACTTTTTCGTTTAAAAAATGAGGTATGACAGGAAGTCTGTGACGTCTTATGTGATTGCCGACTCACACCGTCAATATGCTGTGCTCTGATTGGCATACCTACTTTGACATGAGAGAAAGCGTCTTTTAGTCTAGACCAACATGCTTTACTAGTCTGGCTGTACTTAAGGTGTTCCGTTACGTCACTGAAGTTACTTACGCGGGTGAGCGATACTTCCAGGTAGCAACACATGCACGTAGCGCAGACTTATGACTAGTTTAACTACCGTAGTTTGCTCAACACTTTTGAAGTTGATAACTTCACGTTTTAAACGTTTGAGGTCCCAACAACCTTAGGTACACCTACAACCAAGGTATCTTTTATTGGCTTTAAGTTACTTTACTTACTGTATTATTTTGTGTAAATAAATGACTTGTCTTGACGAAAAAAAAAAAGAAAAAAAAAATTTTGAGGTCATATTTAGTAGATTTTTGGCACAAAGGTTTGTATGATTAAATTTCTGTGCAATATTTAAGTTACCAGGGTCGCAATTGAAAAGTTTTTAAAACCGTCCTTTGGGTGTCGGAGGATCTATTTTACATATTTTATTTGTAATTGTTTAAGTAGGTAAACTTCCTGCATGGTTTCAAATATGAAAAAAACTTGATCACTTTAAATGAGTCCGGGAATATAGACCCTTTACAGTGTTTTATTGCAACATTTTAAACACTTCGATACAAATATGGTATTCCAATAGGTCTGGACGAACCTACCAAAGAGAATCACACGTTACGAGAGTGGCAATTTTGGCTTGTGGGAAATATACCGGAATATAGCATTAGATTTGGTGACGTAATGACGCAGTACTCCTCTCCAAAACCGCCAAAAGGTTCAGGTAAGAGTTGATGTCTACTCATTTAGTTTTGCACAAACACATTTTCTTCAGAATTTATGATACAATAAAGTAGAAAGAAAACAAGGTAACGGCGGAAACAAGGCTAAAATACATAAAATTATACTGGACGTTTCGGTGTTGTGAGACAACGTTCCTTGTTTATTCCTTCTACTATTTCCGTTTTGGGCTGCCTGTGTACCTATATGTCTTTGTTCTATAGTAAAGTATTTTTCAATACGGATGCCATGATAAAAATGAACCATTAAAGGCCAACATACTTACAATTTGATGAACATAAGAGTAGTGCGCACCATTGTATTATGACGCCTGAAACGCGAAGCGCTTCAAGGGGCTGTACTGCAAAACGATCAGGGGCCCCATGCGCATGGATGGTGTTTTCCTTGTGGATGATTAAACACACGTAGATTGAATGATATGGATTACATTGATGGTCTCCTAAAATATTTTCCATTCATTAAAATATTTATAATACACTCAATAACTAGTATCCCTCCATTACTCTAACTATCGCCATCACACTCCATTTTACAACCACAAAATACGTGTTGAACTCAGTTAGCAAAATATTCCAAACATTTTATCTTCACCGTTATCTTTGTGCAGGTATTCACCGATATGTGGTCCTTTTATACCTCCAACCCAATGGGTGTAGGATTGAATTTGAGGAAACGAAAAATCCCATTGCTGACATGTAAGGAATTTGTATTTTTTTAAAAAATCAACAACACAATATGATTAGTATTATTTTTTTTTTTGGGGGGGGGGAGAATGTAGAATGTATAATCTCATATAAAATTATAAATTCAAGCCTAATGAACTGTAGTCTGCGGTGTAATGTAACGACGCATTGAAAAGGTTCGGAAGACTGCTGATTACGTTTTTTCAACAATTTGGAAATTAATTTTGTTGAATTTCTCACTCAATGTTGCATGTAGTTTCACCGTAATTAAACTCACCACCAGATTCCTGTCATACAATTGGGGTATCACAACTGAATTATACAGCAAACACAGAAAATAGCTCTTCTGGAATATTCAAATTGAATACCATAATTTTAACATCATTCAACTGGGATCCATATAGGCGGGTGTCACAATCAATATTTGTGTTGAATTTTTGTTTTTAACCAGGTAAGCAAGAATTATTTTATCTCACTTACTGGGATGTTAGCTAGCAAATACACGAATTAGCATCTTCTGAGTGGAATCAGTCGATAGCGTCTGGCAGAATAGTGTATATTGGCTTGTGGTTGCACAGTTTTTAAATGCCTTATAAAAATTTACTCATACACGGAGGAAAAAAATTCGTGCATGGGACCCGAAGTTGAGGTCATATGGATCTCTGAAGTTTTCTGATCACGCATCCTAAAACTTGAGGTCGAGCTGCCGAAGTTCGGGTCAGACATCGAGGCACTTCGGTATGTATCAGAGTATTTCAGATGGGTGACCCGAACCCTTCGGTATATATCAAAGTACTTTAGATGGCAGCTGGACCTCTAGTTTTTAGATACGTGATCCGAAAGCTTCAGAGATCCATATGACCTCAACTTCGGGTCCCACGCACGAAGTTTTATGCTCCGTGTAGATTCTAAAGAGACGGCATTCTGTATTCCACCGAAGCAAATGTCAGATAAAAGCTTCTATTTTTTGCTTCATTTCAGACGTGATGACGGAGCTCGAGGAGATTGGTCGCACAAGAAGTTTGCCGAAAAATACAAATTAGGAAATCCTATTGCTTGTAATTTTTTTCGAGTTAGATGGTGAAAACTCCTGAAGACAATGAAACTCATGTAGTATAGAGAAGATGAACATAGCAGGAAAAAAAATTTTAAAGGGTAGATATGCCTTATCATCAAGTGCTGGCAAAGCGAGGAGAAAAAATAAGGCGAGAAATATTTCAGTCGACACTCTGCGCTCTTGAAAAAGCTACGTCAATTTAAAGACAATTCCCAGTTGTGGTTGGACACTTCGTGAAGTATCCAGCTTTTCTTTCTAAAAATAAATTACTATGTGCGAGTATCTCGCGAAAAAGACCCTTTAATAGTACGTTAATCAACGTATTGATGTGCATATTTTAATGTTTTATAGCTTTTAGGATGTTACAAATATATTAAAATAAACATTTTACTTCGTATTTGCATGCTCATTTGCTTTCAGGTAAGTTGCAAATCATTTTTACCGTGGCTTCCAAAGCTATGAAAATGTATATAATGAGATGACAGATTCTCTGCAAGAATAATTTATCATCGTGATAGCCTTATTTTTATCTGATGAGGAGACTGCCATAGACCAAGAGGCAATTTATCTGTCAATTAATCTTCTTTGGTCTTGATCATTGCTTCTTAATCCCCACTTCAAATATGCATAAAAAACATCTAGCTGGAGCGTTTTTGTCACTATTTCAGCCCAAAATCCATTCCGAAGCACCCCAGACCGTGCAAAAAATCCAGCGACTTCACTGGCCACTGTGCGCACTATGTAAAGAATGGGCACTGTTACCTCCTTCAAAATAATCTGACTATTGTCTATGAATTAAAATAATTAAAATAGGTATCATTCTAATTGCCAAAGTAAATTGTATTAAACGATAAAACAAGGTCTACTTCCCCCTCAAAATTATCGAATAAAAAAATAATTTTCAAAGGAAACCTCGTTGACTCTGGTAATTTCCTCTACACACACCCTAACATGACAACGTGTGTGCTAATAAGCTATCATTTTCAAGTGTAACCCTTTAGATACCCAAGCCGGATCAAATTGACCCGATGTTATCACGTAACCTGCGGGTTGTATGGGGCTCAGGGGCCGGTACACACGAACTTTAGATTTAGGTCTACAAATACATCGTAAAAAGAATCAGAAATCAAATTGGAAAAAGAAAAAAGTTGTAAGTACACTCATAAATCGATATGATGACGCATGTGGGCCTCGTTATTTAACTTTTCTCACGAATCTGATACACCTAATGATGTGGTGTGCTCTATGGGCAGTATATAGAGCGGAGCATGGAGAATTCCCGTCTTTCGCCATAGCGCCTTCAATTTTGCAGATGCAACACAGCCATCCATCAAGCACGAATATTTGTATCTCTGCGCCGTCATGAACGCGCGTCATTTTCCTCGCTCTATTTCCATATTGCTTTGATTTCTGTTTGTCTTACTTGTAGTTGTAATTGTGCTTCAAAAGCTTCGTGAGCAACACAGCCAAAGATCGGAAAGACGTAATCGGGCTTCGTTTTTTAACTTTTCCTCTGAATCTGAGCGACATCTCATTGGCAGCAAAGAGCAGAGCATTCCGAGTTCACGCCTCGCGCCATCGCGCCTTCAATCTTGCAGATTCAACATGGACATCCATTAATTTTGAACAGTTATATCTCCGCGGTGCTACCGGTTGAGGTGTCTCTTAGTTTTTAAATTTAAGAGAAGTAATAAGGTTAGGTTGTTCAAAATATGCTGCGAAATGCCCAAATCAATTATCAATATGAAAAAAGGGGGAAAATGTTCAAAGGTCTATATCAAGCGTCTTAAAAGGCGCATGTCTAAAAAACGGTATTCCGGCGAGAGTTGTGTCGTGTTAGCGAATTTCCTTTAACGTTTACCCCTAGAAAGCCTAAGCCGGGTCAAATTGATCTGGCTGTCTCCGCTGTGGGCATTAGGTATATATCGTCGCTTCTCTAACGTAAAAGCGTATCTCTATTACTACATGAGCCTTGGAAAACGTGGAGTTATGTGGGGAATAGGGCTCACGTGGAAATTGAGATACGCCCTTACGTCAGAGGAGCGACGATATGGTGGTTAGGGAGGAGGGCTGAGAAAGCGCCAATATATTACCAAAAGAGGTAAACATTTCAAAAACAGCTTTTTTACTCAAAAATAAATAACATTGATAATACTTTAAAAAAAAATACTTTAGGAACTATGAAAACCAATACATACCTACTTAAATAAGGTTCGGTTTGACCCGACTAAAACTTCAATTTTAAAAAAAAAGCAGCCTGGGTATGTAATGGTTTAATTATTTGAGTCATTATCTATCATATAACATGAATTTCTTGGTGTAACTATTTCAGCAAATGCTTGGAAATAGGAAGCGTAGCTCTTACAACACTAATTGTGAATTTCAGTCCAAAGTAAAGTCTTTCCTTTCCCAGTTACAATGTTGATTTTGTTATAGTAATCATTTCAATTCCAGTATAACGATGATTCAGTCACCGCACGAAAAAGCACCGAACAATTTTAGAATATTACATAAAAATAACCCAAAAAATTCAAGGTAAAACCAACACGATAAAAAGCGTGAACAAAGCTAAAATTCATACAAACTGTCTGGGGCGCTTCAGGGTCGTCTCACCTTTTTATCTATACTAGGAAACAAAAATAAAAATATAAAATTAACAATAATCAAAACCTCAGATCCTCATTCGTGATAACAAAAAAAGGAGGTGCAATTTCTCGTTCTTCTCCTCCTGGTTGACGAAGGGGCTATAACCACCCTAAAATGTCCCAGACATTTTTTAGGTTCCTTAGCTTTGTTTGCCCGTTTTATTGTGTTTCATCTTTCAGAATTTTACATGCATTCAGCCTGAAATTAATCATAAACACTGTAAAAGCTACGATTCTTTGTTCTCCATAAATGCGAGAGGCAACCGGTGAACATTGGCGATGCATGAATGATCGATTATCGATAATTCCCCATTTGAAGCCATGGTAAAGAATCGATTACTAGGGTGTTCGTTGCGAATACCCTGTTTATCAATCCTTTCCCATAGGTTTAAATGGCATATCAACCGATAAAGCGCAAATCACGCCACGCAATGTTGGTAGAGTACACATAAATCCATGTCAACCGAGAGGATTCGTGACATGATAATGCTCAGGAATTTACTTTAAAATCATCGAATAAATTTGGAATAAATCCTCATGAATTCCTTGTTTTATGAATACCTATTACAATTGATCACAGGCCTAATCTTTCATTACGTGTGGAGTTTTCTTACAGATGGAGTTCATGGACTTATGCGTGATGCTTACGCAGAGCTCCGAAATGAACCCATATTTTTCTTTTATTTTCAGCCGTAGATCATTTAAAAATGGGTGGATTTGAGCACAGTGTCAGGGTAGTGTGCCATTCATTTTTAATCCTGCTTTTGACTTGCTTCGGATGTCGAGAAAATCATGCGCAAAACATGTCCACCCCCGAGCCGACGTTAGGCCCAACCGTTGACCCTAAGAGCCGCGTCCGCAGCCCCATTAGATCTGCGAAGGAAATTGAAGAATCACTTAGACATTACTCGCTTCTACCAGATGTTATCAGCTACGCTCCGAAGCAAATGTTGTGGGTGAGAATAAAAATGTTGATATAGAATGGAATAATTTTTTCAAGAAAAAGGTTTCTGAGTCATCTAAAAAGGCTGAAATGGCTCTTCCAGCTAGGGGAGGATCAAAAATCCCTCCGACTTTTATCCTGAAAAAGTGGGCAGCCACATGAATTACAAAGGATCACAGCACGAAAAAATGTCCGAAACATTTATGAAAAACCGAGAAAACTTGCATCATTTTCGAAAAGAAGCATCCGTACACTGTCTTCTCAGTTAATTGTTTGTTGGGACTTTTACCGGAATTCCTGTTTTTATTAATACCTATTACGACTGATCACAGGCCTAATCTTTCATTACGTGTGGAGTTTTCTTACAGATGGAGTTCATAGATGACTTTATCGCGGATATTGGCAATGATTTAAGCGGACTAGACGTTCTGTATCCTCCTTGGCTCATAAAGTGGCCTTGCAAAAATGACTCGTATTATGCCATATTAGGGACAGGTACCGTAAAGCATGATACTGAGACTATCAGATGTTTTTTGTTGACCTGTTGTCAATTATTATAAGAGCATTAGGTTGCATGAGGTTAGGCAAGTTTGATCGAAGATTAGGACGGCTAAGGGTTCAAGGAGTACGGTGTTCAGTGGCGAGGCGTGAATGATCGATTAGCGATATTCCCCCATTTGAAGCTGTGGTAAAGAATCGATTATTAAGGTGTTCGCTGCGAACATTCTGTCTATCGATCCGTCTCCACAGGTTTAAATGGCGGAGCAATCGATACATCGCAAAGCACGCCACGCTACTGACGGTGATAAAGGGGGTCTCGGCTCCCTGTAACTTGCTCTGAAATTTTATTGACGATGCTCATTGTCAGTAAAATCTACAATTTTTTGCAATTTTATCCCTTTGACCCACAAATTTTGTTTAAAATTTCGTAACTACTTAAAGACTAAAAAAGAACAATATGTCTTGTATCTTTCTGCATGCATTAAATTCAATTCACGAAGATATTCGGAAACAAAGTAACGTTAGAATAATGAAGATTACCCAGAGGAACATGAATTTTGAATTCTCCGTCTTTTTCCAGAAATTACTAGGTTTAGGTATAGGCCAGGTTAATTATGCTGCGTGTTGTCATTTCCTCCTTCCGCACTTTGATTACTCTCATCCTTATACTGTAGAGACCCTTTTTCAGAAGTAAAAAGGAATCGAATAAATACTCGTTGTGCTTCGACTTGTATGTTTTTACCGAAAGTTATACGTTCACATAGTTCACGATGGATAATGTGACATGCAACCTGATCGCTCTATTCCTTTTTGTTTACAATTTATAATAATTCATAATGCAGGGTTTGATTCAGCTGTCAACTCACCGATCTTTCTCTGGTTGTCTTCCATATTCTTTCAGGTCCTGACACTCTAGTCAATGGACTACCAATAAAGAAAGAGTTCATGCACTGGTTAGTGGTTAATATTCCAGGAAAGCATGTTGCTGACGGCAGGGCTATATTGCACGGGAAGAGACTAGCAGACTACATAGGACCCGCTCCACCAAAAGGGAAAGGTATTAACAAAAAAATTTAACATACGCACTGAACATTCAACGAAGTATGAACTGATGAATTGCATCATTCAAGTGCGAGAGATAATTTTAAAAAAATTAATTAAATAAAGAAAACTTTATAAAATACAAAATACAACCCATGAGAATATTATTTTGAATGGATATAGCATCAGTCACTATCATATAGTCACATATTCCACCCTTGAATATGGCAGAAGTAATAGAAACAGTATTCTCATTTATTAAAAACAAAAAGTGCAGACTCTTTCCCTCTTCAATATTAGATTAGCTTTGATTACAATATTTAAAATTTAGATCTTGATTCTACAGCCTTCTCCACGGAGCTTTTGAGCACATTTTGAGTGGCACGTTATTTTAACGTGCATTGTTTCTTATATATCGACGGTGAAACTACCAGACCACGTATCTCGTTTTCGGTGTTTAAAAATCTCCACTCACATTTTATTTTTTTGAAGGAGATCAAATCAATATCATTCCTTACAATTTTCACAGATTTTTCTCCGCACAAAGAGGAAAAATCACGGAAGTTTTCACGAACTGACGTTGAGTAGTTTTCTATTTAAAAAATAAAGTATGACAGGAAGTCTGCGACGTCGCAAACCGAGATACGTGGTTTGGTACTTTCACCGCCTATATCCAATAAAAAAAGATATATCGACGGTGAAAGTCGGCAATCACATAACTCGTTTGCGGTGTCTGAAAATCTCCGCCTCTACGTCATTTTTTTAAAGGAGAACAAATTGATATTATTTCTTGAAGTTTTTGCAGAATTTTCTTCGCATTGAGAAGAAAAATCATGACAGTTTTAAAGAATTTCCGTTGAGTAGTTTTCCATTTAAAAAATAAAGTATGACAGGAAGTCTGCGACGTCGCAAACCGAGTTATGTGATTGCCCACTTTCACCGTCGATATATGATTAAACTTTTATCAAATCATTAAAAATTAAAATCAATTAATGCATGGTGATGAAAATTAATTGGTTTATATCCTCGATAATTTCACAGGGTATCATAGGTACGCTTTTTTTGTGTATGAACAGACAATGGGCAAAACAAAGTATAATATTCCGAAGCTAAATGCAACGTAAGTATTCTTATCTGATATTAAACTGTTTCAAGATTTTCAACACTCACTGCTCTGCTAAACAAACCTGTTTTTATATGAAAGTTTCGGAAAACGAAATGTAATTACGAGTATTGAATTTTCAAAATTACCATGAACAGCATCATATTTAATTTTATTCATTATTTTCCAATATGTAATATATTTCCAATATATATATTCCAATATATTTTTCCAATATTTAATTCATTTTTTTCCTTTTTCAAGTAAGTTTTTTTATCAGGGCATATTGGCATTCCAAAATAATTTTCAATCATAAAAGAAAACCCATGAAAAAATTCATTTTTGCAATTATTTCTGTATACAGCAAATATTTCAGTGCAGAATAGTACGAAAAGCTCTCTAAGTTACAATGTGACTGACGAACTTATATTTTTTACAGCGAAACCGACCCTCTCCGACAGTTCAATTCTGAGGAATTTGCCAAGAAGATGTATTTTGGAAAAGCGATCGCGACGAATTTTTTCTGTGTTGAGTGGCGAGTCAATCCTTTAAGGCCTTTTTTATAATTGTTCCTCTTGATTAAAAAATAGACAACAGATTTAAACCTTTTTTGTGTAATATTTTAAGGCGATAAAGAGTGATGAGGCTGTTAGTGAAGTAAATTCCAGTTAGATAACGGTTATCATTTAGATAATCTCCTTTGCGTTGTAAATACAAAAGACTTGATAAACAAGTAAAATAATTTTGATACAATCTTGACTCATTACTTGATTTTTCCTATCATGCCTATACCATTTACATACATTAACAATAAATCGCTTTCACAGCGCAGCCTCGCACTCTGCAACTCGCAATCGCCATTGCCCCCTATCCTCCCAGAGATCATCAGGCAATTGGCACCTTCTGATCTCCTCCTCCCCACTTTGTCGCCAACCTTTCACAAGACGTCCACGCCGTCGCCTTCCGGGAGGAACCCAATCGAAAACCTGATTGGGCAACGGATCGTCTAACATCCTTCGCACATTCCATACCAATAATTCATCAATAATTTTACGATAAACATTTTTTTTTTCGAATTTTAATTTTTAACCAGCTGAATTCGAAACAAGCGAAGAAGCTCTAATACGTTCGTATTAGAGAAGCGCTCAGCATTTTCCTACGGAGACGCGTTTTTAAGTTCCCAAGAATGATGAGCAACGTTGAGTGGAGGAACTCGCCTCACCAAAATTTTGACCATCAATTTTGGGAAAAGCATACTATCGTTAAAAAAATAAATTATAGAAAAACAATTATCGTCCTCCGCACCTTAATATAAGAAACAGTAAATACAGGCGTAACAGATAAATCTATTCTAAATATTTGAGGCCCCTATTCGCCATCTTGTTGTTGAGCCGGTGTTCCATTTGAATACATTGCCATTTGTGATCTCGAATTCTATAGGCAGTTTGGATTAAAAAAAAAAACGCTCCCTATCAGATGACCGCTTAATTACTCCTAGAAAATAGCCTGTGTCACACTATCAAAATATATACTCCATCAAAATGTCAAGGTCAAGTGCTGTGATTGGTCCAAGTCATCGAATAAACCAATCACAACATCTGAGCTTGATATTTTGATGGCTAGCTTTGCTAGTGTGACACAGGCTTATTATTCTCCTAAATGTGTTTCGGATTCGACCCGGATGTGGACCCATTTGGAAAGTACTGTCCATTTGAAGTTCACCTTCAATTTCATCGCATTACACCAGAGAGCTTAAATAACCACTATCTATTCAAAAAACACAAGCATCTCGCTCCATACACCAATACGTATAATAAGTATACCTATTGACAGATATCTTCCACTAGATAGTCGCCTTCAATATTGCCATATAGGCAACAGACATACCAGGAAATTTGAATGGTTGTTCATTCGAGAATACACAATTATATCGTCCTATAAGCTTTATTTTTATGGATAATTGGCGCTGTGATTTTATTGATAAGGTAAACATGTTGGGAATTAATGAAGCTCTGGTAATGAAGAAAGTGAGAAAGGTGTCGTAGTGTCTAAGGTATAATTCATCGCTTAAATAGATTGGGTCTATATTACATAGTTAAACACAATGAAATATACAATGGAGTCCGACATTTTTCTCCAAATGCTCCCCTAGTATTTCTGTGTTCAAGGCGTTAGGTGATGTGTGACAATCTCTATCTAAGCAATTAAATACGTTTACATCAACCACGATATCTCTTCGTTGCCTTAGATCACATTTCCCTTACATTTTCGTCGCTTGTAATGCTCCCAAATTTAAACACTTGGCAACGGTTTTCATGTCATCAGAAATGGAGTCATTGAACTTCTTATTATTATGTAAAATGAAGAAAATTGATAGTTGCGTAAGATTTAAACGGGTTCAGTATTTTTGTACGCAGTATGGACCGTTGACGTATGATGACAAATGTATCTCCGAATTTCGGAGGTTAACCAGAGGTTAAAAGAGGTTTTTTTTACAGTTTATCGAGTCTTAATACCACACACAGTTCGTTTTGAAATGTTGTTTGTCTTTAAAAATTGCACTACTACTTCTTAATACCTTTCCTCACAAATTGCATCACTGATTCTGACCTTTTTTCATGCCACTGAGGTAAGGATTTACGCTATCACGTGCTTGCTTAATCTGTCTTTAGCATTAACACCCACAAAAGAGAGAGAGATAGTTTCGGTAACAATGGTTAAGTGACAAGATTGACCGAGAACAACATTACGTAAAATGAGCCAACCTTAGTGTTACAGAGCAGTTAAAATCTGAAAGTATGTACAGATAAGATTCGTTGACTAATTCTCCTTTTTTGAATCTTTAGAGATCATCTTTAGCTTTTGCAACTTTGCATCCTCTGTAAGCCTTGTAGCGCTTAAAGTGACATTCCGACCTTTAGTATTAAATGTGAAGCAGAATTATGTACAATACACTTCACGAAAATTGAATGAGTAAAAATGTATAAGTGGCTTCTGACAATGGAATTCTGAGTCATTTTACATCAAGGCATATCTTTATTTATAAGAATCTCTTATCTCCATATATCTACATCATAAATAAATAAAATTAAACCTGATTAACCATGATCCCGAATCAACTCAAATTCAAAGCAGCCTGATAATGGTCTCAATTTTTTATAGGTCTCTGAGAGAAAATAGAATATGACAAAAATGGGATTCTACAGGAATAAGATGAACTTTAAAGCTATCATAATGCTTCTATCATCATTTATTCTATGCAACATTATAAATTATTCTACTGGTCAATCATTAGTTCAAAAAAGGGTCATGTCTGCGGATCATATCAAAGCAGCTTTACTGGGTCATCACGTCATTCCAGACGTCATACCAAAAGCTCCCAAGAAATTATTTAAGGTAAGGATTTCGAGCTTATTTAATGTAATGTAGGTAAAAAAACAATGCTAATCTCCCATTCATGAGTTGATTGTGGACATTTCAGCATGTATACGTGTTGCATATAACTCAAAGATTAAGAATAACATTTTGTCGAAATGTTTAATAAGATCTGTACCTCACTTTTTTTTTTGTCTCAGGTATCATTTATTGATGGATTTACTCCCAAATTAGGGAATATATTGGCGCCAATAGTTTTGAAGTTCCCTCCATTTTTCATACGTTGGCCGGCAGAAAATGACACACTTTACACGATGGTGATGACTGGTAAGACTTAAACATGAAAGAAAGAAAAAATATTATTTTATTATATTCTGCAGCAACTCAATTATATAAGCGTAGATTGTTTTACTAAGATAGACGTGGCTGAAAAAAGAAGTTCAATGCAGTCATATCGGAGGGTCAAGAGCGTACTATAATTGATAATTTCTGTGCAGGCCCGCCACAAGGGGGGGGGGGGGCACTGGGTTCTTGGTACCGGGGCCCGGGCCCTGGAGGAGCCCGTGACGCAGGTGACAAACCACTACGAATTCATATGTAACCCTTGTCTCGTAGGGAAAAGTGAAAAAATTACCCTAAAAATTCCGCAAAAGGTGAATAAAGTTTCAAAAACACGCTAGGGCACTATAAAATTTTTCTTACTTTTTTAGAGATTTTCAAGATTTTGAGTATATGTAGAATGATATTTTTAGTAACTGTGTTTCATTTTCTTCCGTTGTCGGATGCTAAGAGGCTCCTTTCTGGGCATCCTCGACTTCAATGGCTTAACTCCCTTGCCATAGACGTACGAAAGGGGAGTC